CCTAAACCCTTACGCGTTCCTCCACTCTGAGGTTGCCTGCTCCCCTTTCTTCAAGTGCATCACTCTCTCTGTTCTATTCCAGGTAAGCAGGGATGGGCTATTGAGATCTGATTTGGGCTTGCAAGTTCCCCTTGCCTTGGGGACCCAGACAGGGCTGTAGCTGTACACTCGGGCTCTCTCTAGTACCCCGCCTGAATATCTCCTTTTTTTTGCTTTTGGGAAGTTCTCAGAACATAACCTCACTCCATCCAGTCCTCTACTCCATGCAGTAGACACTTAGTTCCCACGCTGTGCAGACCCAAGCGGACATTGGACACCAGGTGACCCTGGCTTTAGCAGTCGGCGAGGGACCTGCCCTGGGCCGAGCAGGGGTTCATTGAGCTTCCCTCTCCTCCCTCGGTTCTTCCTTGCTCTCTGCTGCCTGCAAGGCAGCTGCCATTCCCTGCTATTCTTGCTTTGATGAATTCCTTCCTCACCTTTCACTCTGACTTCCCTGCACCTCCAAATTGAAATTTCTTCCCAACAGTTTTATCTTATCTGTGTATATATATATATATATATATACATACACATGTTTCAATATATTTATTAAAACACATATATATGCACACACATGTTTTAATGTGTTTATTAACAATTAAAAGATAAGTGTAGAAAGAAGAGCTATATATGTGTGTATGTGTGTGTTTGTGTGTGTGTGTGTATACACAAAGAATACACATTTTTTTTAAGTCTTAAGAATATGTTAGGCCCCAAAGAAAATCTCAATATAATCTCAGATGTATAACCCTTATATTTTGACTGACCATATTGTGGAAATTAATATCAAATATAGAAACCAAACATCACAAGCACTTGAAATTTTACAAACACATTTTCTCAAAACTCTCCCATCAAAGAGAACATTTTTTAAAAGAGAGAAGACTGAAATTATAGGTATTTGAGAACTGATTGACTATGAGAACTCTTCTTATTAAAGTTATGGGATATAGCCAAAGTCATACTCAGGAGTACTCAAATTAAATAATAATGACCACAAATAAATGAAGTTGGATACTGAATAATGACAGGAAAGTAGAAGAAAGAAAATAATGATAAAAACAAAGTGACTAATTAGAAATAAGGAAAACATTAATATCAGTAAGCAATATAAGGAAAGATCCGAAGTTACTATGTTGAAAAGATCATGTATAGAGAATATATTCGTAAATGACTCATCTGATAAGGGGTTAACATCCAAAATATATAAAGAACTCATACACCTCAACACCTAAAACACAAATAACCCAATCAAAAAATGGTTGGAGGACCTGAACAGACACTTCTCCAAAGAAGAAATACAAATGGCCAAGAGGCACATGAAAAGATGCTGCACATCATTAATCACCAGGAAAATGCAAATTAAAACCACAATGAGACATTTCCTCACACCAGTTAGAATGGCCACCATCCAAAAGACAAGAAACAACAAATGCTGGCCAGGATGTGGAGAAATAAAAACCCTCCTCTGCTATTGGTGGGACTGTAAATTGGTGCAACTGCTGTGAAAAGCAATATGGAGGTTCCTCAAAAAACTTGAAATAGAAATACCATTTGACCCAGTAATTCCTCTCCTAGGAATTTACACGAAGAAAAAAAAAAAACCCTGATTGAAACAGACATGCATCCATATATTTATTGTTGCACTGTTTGCAATAGCCAAGATATGGAAGCAACCAGTGTCCATCAATAGATGAATGGATAAAGAAGATGTGGTACATATATACAATGGAATATTATTCAGCCATAAAAGGCAAAGAAATCCTGCTATTTGCAACAACATGGATGGACCTAGAGGGTATTATGCTCAGTGAAATAAGCCAGGCGGAAAAAGACAGACACCATATGATTTCACTTATTTGTGGAATAAAAAAACAAAGAAAAACAGAAGGAACAAAACAGCATTAGTTCATAGACACTGAGAAGGGACTAGTGATTGCCAAGGGGGAGGGGGAGCGGGACTGTTGAACCACTGTGATGTATGTTTGATAATAAAAAAAGAAAAGATCACTAGGATAGCCACAAATACACAACATTAAAAATAAGAAAGGGAATAAAATTACAGGTATAGAAAGTTTTATATTATGAATGATAACTCAGGATGAACTGGAAACTTTTCCAGAAAATCTAACTCAAGATCCAAACCAGATTAAGCAGCAAAAAAAAATCCACTGTTCAAAAAAGGCACCAGCCTCGGACAGTTTTTCAGAAATTTCCATAAGCCTGAATTGCTTATGTTCTTTAAACTGTTCTAGAACAGGGAAATTATAAAATGATTTTAACTCTTCATGAGTACTTAATACTGTGTCAGACACCATGACAAGCAATTTGTATTTATTATCATGTCCAAAAAAGCTTACAAATTCACTGAAAGAGATTAGTATAAGATGGGTACAAAATGACAAAGAAATCACAAATACTCAGAAAAAATAATCGCATTTTTAAATATAGATAATGGCCTAAGGAAAACAGTACTAAATGGAATCTAGCTGTGAATTAAAATAGTAGTGTCACAACCAGTTAGAGCTTTTCCCTCCTGGGAACTGAAAGAAGGTTCAACAGAAAGAAGCCTATTGTTGTAATTCATCATACTAAAAGGTGAAAGGATTTCCCCAAAAGAATACCCATTCCTGAGTTAAAAGCAAAATAACACCAACAAAACTGTCAACTAGAAATAGAAGGAAAGTTTCTTCATGTGATTTTTAAAGTCACCCAAGGAACTCAATAATAAACATCACACTAAACAGGAAAACATAAGAAGGTTTTCTCACGAAAGACAGGAACAAGATAAAATTGCCTTTTCCAACCACATCTTTACATTATTCAATATTGTTCAGGTGGTTCTGGCCAGCGAAACAAAGCAGCAGAGACAGGACACACTGGAAAGAAGAAGGTTTCATTGCTTGCAGATGACATGATCGCTTTCCTGGAAAATCCGAAAGAATCAACTGGAGAATTTATAAGAATAAAAGAGCTCAAAGACAGCTAGATGCATTAGCATACAAAAGCGTTCGTGAACGTTAATGATAACCGGATGGAAATTGTAAGGGAAAAAGATTCCATTCACGACACTCTCAGATATTATAAATTTAACTATAATTTAAAAGTTCAACATTTGTGTGAATAAAACTGTAAAACCCAAAAGATGTAACCAGCGACTAAGCCAATTCTCTCCAGAGACTAATGCAATTTCAGTCATAATCCTAGTGAATACGTAAGTTCTGAAACTGCATAAATAGTAAGCAAAAGAAAAGCAGAATTACTTTTGGAGAATGGAAATTTGCCCTATTAAATAGAAAGCTACAGAATTCCTTAAAGCAGTAAGGATTAGCAGAGGAACAGCCGGATCGTTGGCACATAACAGAAATTCAGAAACATACCCATGACTATATGGGCACTTAGTACATGATTAAATAGGGCATTTTGGGTGAAGGCAAGAGTGGATTACTAATAAAAGTTGTTGAGAGAACTGGATTTCCGTTGAACAGAAAAGAAAGTTTGGCATGGGAAAATTTTTTCCTGGGATGATCAAAGCCAAGTACCATAAAGGAAGAGATTGATAGATTTGGACTTTTTAAACCTAAAAACTTAAACACAATACATATTAAAAGAAATATGAACTTGACTTTCTCAATTTAGAACGTCAACGTGAGAAAAACATTCGCACTCTAACAGGCTGTTAGAATCGGAGACTAATTCCTGCAACAAACAAACAGGTGAAGGACCGAAACAGGCAATTCACAAATGAAAACACAAACACAGTAGTCAATAAACACGCGGAAGCCACTGGCTCTCAACCTTCACGATGAGCAAAGAAATCCAAATTCAAGCTATAAAATTCGTTGTTGAGGAATCTGGGGGAAAGCATTCTGGTAGTGCTAGTGGTAAATTTCCAAGCAGGAAGCAAATCACACTCAGTTAAACAGGAATGTAGTTCTGAGTATGTCAGCAATGGGTAGAGGATGCCTTCACTTTGCAAGCGGACTCGCCCCAGAAAAAGTACACATAGGAATCTTATACAAGTAGTCTATTTGGGTCGTGGGGGTGGCAGAAGTTCAGGTGGGTATGTTACTGTCATTGGATAAAAGGGGGAAAATAAGACCTTATGAGGCTATACACTCCTAACTGCATATATATTCACAAAGAAACTGCAAGCATTAAAAACTGGTAACAATGCCTAACTGTGGGTGGGGGAGGGAGAAGTGCAGATGGGGACACAGAATGGAGACTTTGCCCCTAGTCTTTATAAACTGTAATTTTTTGAACTGTATAACTGTATTATAAGAAATATTTAAAATCCTGTGCTGTTTAATAAAATAATTATAACTGCATTTGAAAATTTTTTTCATATATTCCCAGATAGCACGGTGTTGTGGTTTTGACTTTTCAGACAGAAACTACCTACCTGCATCAGCATCCTAAAATCCAGTTTATGGAGATAACCCATCTAAGCTTTTATGGAAAATTCCACTGTAAGACTTTCTAAAGGGCATTTGTAAAATTTTCATACCCCCTTCACCCAGCAATGGCATTTCTAAAAATTTATTCTGAAGAAATTACTGGAAAAGTGTGCAAAAATGCTGCTGCAACATTACTTATTACAACATTTCTAAAAATATATTCTGAAGAAATTACTGGAAAAGTGTGCAAAAATGCTGCTGCAACATTACTTATTACAACATTTCTAAAAATTTATTCTGAAGAAATTACTGGAAAAGTGTGCAAAAATGCTGCTGCAACATTACTTATTACAGGGGTAACGTGGAAACTATTATTACCTACTCACATGGGATTGCGTACATTTTTTTGTTGTGGTCATCGCTACAGATGCTGCTGGTCTGCGGACCACCTTTTTGAGTTGCAAGACCCTCCCTAGAAGGGACTTGTCCCACGTTTGCAGCTGTTACTCCTTAGATCTGCTCCTCGCACCTTCGGTCTGGCTCTTGGATGCGGCGCCCCACCCTGAGCCGGCCCACTCACCTGGTCAGCGTAGGGGTGCGGTGGTTGGGGTTGGAGCAGAAGATGTTGTTGGACTTGCGCGTGCCGTCCAGGAACTCGCGCACCGACTGGCTGCGGAGCTCTGACAGCGGCTGCGACTCGTGCTTGAGGAACCACTGATGCGCCTCGAAGCATTTGGCGCAGAGAAGCTGCTCGCACTCGAAGCACCAGAAGTCGGCAGGCTCTTGGCAACGGGTGCAAACTGCCTGCGCGTCTACAATCTGCCGGTGCACCGACAGGCGTCGCTGGAGACTCTCGAAGAAGACGTTATCCAGGGCAGGCGCCTCAGCACCTGACGGCCAGGGCACCTGGCAGATGCGGCACTGCATTCCCGGTGCCTCCAGGCATCCTGAGCACAGCGTGTGCAGACAAGGCAGCAGCTTCGGGCACTTGGCTTCTATCTGGCAGCTCTGGCATCGTAGGAACTGGAACTCCTCCTCCGTGGCTTGCTGCAGACCAGAGAGGGAGGTAATGTGTAAAGTCCCAGGAGTCTCCACCCTACCGGATATTGGTCCCTATGGCTGGAAGCTGGAGTGGGATTTCTTATTCCATTCCAGGCAGTCACTGGATGACGCAAAACCCAGGCTTATCAATACCACAATCCCCCGTTTACTCAGGCTTTCCCACTCTCATCCACAGTTTATTGAGCATCTACTTCCTCTAAGACACAGACAGTACTAGGACCTGACAAACAAGGATGCGTAGGACGTATCTCTGTCTTCAAGGAACTCAATTTAGAAAGGAGATGCATTAAATGCTCATCATATAACCTCATGTAGAATGCTTATAACAGTTTGGTAGTGTCTCAAAAAGTTAAATATAGAACTACCCCTGTTCATAGCATTACATACAATACCCAAAAGGTGGATACAGCCCACGTGTCCATCAACAGATGGATAAATAAAATGTGTCTACACACATAATGGAATAGTATTCAGCTTTAAAAAGAGGAAATTTTGCTGCAGGCTACATGTAAGAACCTTGAAAACATTAGGCTAAGTGAAAAACACAAAGGGACAAATGCTGTGTCCCTTACATGAACTATCAAGGCTAGGCAAATTCAGAGAAAGTAGATTAGAGGTTACCAGGGGCTGGGGGGAGCGGGAATAATGAGCTTTGCTTACAGAGTTTGGAGTGATGAAAAAATTCTGGAAATAGAGGGAGGTGATGGCTACACAACATTGTGAATGTACTAAATGCCACTGAATTGTACACTCAGACAAGGTTAAAGTGGTTAATTGTATGTTACATATATTTCACCACACACACAAAATATGGTGTTCTTTGTACTTCCATGAAGGGGAGCAAAAGGGTCTGGAAGAACATATAGCAAGTGATCCAAGTCCTGTAGTTCCTGTGCTGGCGGAAGGCTGGGGCGTGTACCCAGGAGCAGAGGAAAGCGCAAGCTTGCAGGAGGAGGACCTAATAAACCCCTTATGGACGGCGGTTGAGGAGACAGGGTGTTTCAAGAAAAGGATCCAGAAAGCTTCCTAGAGGAGAAACCAACACAGGAGCTGTGTGGTCTTCTTAGCCAAGCCACTTCTCTTCTCCAGGACACACTTGCCCACTATCTGATCTGAGAACATGGGTTTTGTTTTTTCCCACACCTGGGACATGCCCCAGCTCCAGGCTGGCACAATAGGGCTCGCACCATTCTCCCTAATTTGTGCTCCCTCATCTGAGCCAGGGGCTAAGAAGCAAGTAGCCAGAGTGGGCAGGACAGTCCAGTCCCCAGTGTCACTGACCTGCAGCCTCTTGCACTCCACGCACTCTCTGCTTGTGCAGCATCAGCCCAGAGAGGCTCCTCTAACTCATCTGTCCCCTTTTTACTCTCCCCACCCCTACCCCGGCCAGGAAGGTCAGAACCACAGTGTCCAGTTTTCCCTTTCTGTGCCCCTGTTTAAGGCACTTGACCAAGGTTCCCTCTCTCTTCGCACCTCTCCCCGACCCTAGCAAATCAACAAAGCCTAAACCCCATCTCCCCAAACCCAGTAGTACCTCTGTGGGGCTGTGGCTGGGGTTGGGCTGGTGGCCTTCGGAGAGAGACTCCGGGGGAGGCATGGTGGGCGTGTGGGGCAGTGCGGGGTCCTGTTGGGGACCCGGAGATCCGGCGGGTGCAGGTTCCTGCTGCATGGGCACTATGCAGTTTCGATTCCCAGTTTCGATCTTTGAGAGCAGAAGAGCAATGAGAGGCATGCGCCAAAAGGAGGGTTCAGAGCTGTCCGAGGGGGAGGTGCCCTCTCAGGGCCCGCCTCTGGAGAGGAAGTGAGACAGGAGCTGGGGCGGTTCTAGGGGCGGAGAGGCGGACTGTGGTTTGAGTGCAAGTCCAGAGCCCGGGCTAGGGAGAGGGAGGAGAGGAGTAGACGCACAGCTGACCCGCGGGGTAAAGGGACAGTGTGGCAGAGCTGACCAGGAGGCAGGCAGCCTCTACCCTCGGCTTTAAGCCATTCATTGGGCCTTCACTGGCACGGCTTTGTGCCAGTCCCAGCAGGGAGCGGGGGCAAAGGGATTAGCCACAGTGCCTCCTGCTTTCAAAGAACCCCAGATCTAGTGGGAGAGCTGGCTCTAAAAACAGAGATTTTCACATAATATTGGAACTGGCTGGAAAGGAGATCCTTCAGCTGGAACTTAAAGGAACGGTGGGAATTTACCAGTGATTCAGGAATTGGGGGACTGCTTAGGTCAGCACATGCAAAGGCATGGAGATTTGAAACAGGAGAGCCTGTTTAGAAATTAGTTTTGGTTATTTTCAGGGTTAAAGGGGGCCCCATGAGCAGTGTCAGCCCAGGTGTGGGCTGGGGAAAGATCATAAGGAAATGAACCAGTTCTATGGGGGAGAGAGAATCGGTTTGGAAGCCCAGGAACAACACGATGTGTTGCGCATGTTGCAACAGACCCTCTCACAACCTGGGGACGGGTGACCGTCTAGGACAGTGGCTGTGGGATGCAGAAGAGGTTCCTGAGTCACAGACACTGGGAGGATGCTGAGTGGAAATGAGGGGAACAGGGTGATGCCTTGGGTGATAGTTGGAAAGGCTGGTGAAGTTGAGGCAGCAGTGGAGGTGGGAGGGAAGGGGCCGAGCTGATGAGCAGGTATGAATAGAGTGAGGGAGCATGTTAGCTCTTGGCCAAAGGAAAAACATGCCACCTCCAGCTGGTGTGTGGAGAGAGCACAGCTCCAGGGCACCTCACTGTGCCAATGTCCCTGGCTTCAAACTTCATCCTAACCACTGTCCTGACGCCTGTCTACCCAATCTGCGCTCAGCTCCAGCTTGGAACAGACTTGAAGGAATGTTCACAGGACTTTGCTCTTGCAAAGCCTACAGTCTGGAGTGTGTGTAGAGGGTGATGGGAGGAGAACTCAACTTCCCAGGGACTGTGTGAGGCCTCAGGACCCTACCCTCCCTTCCAGCCTAATCAGTACCCCCAGGTCTTTACAGTCAGGCCTTCAAACTAGGAAAAGCCAAAGATGGTGACCAGCTATCTGCAGAAGAGACCTGGAAGTGGGCTATGGCTGGGGGTGCTGAGGAAGCTGAGGAGGCAGGACGGGCACATGGTTAAGACAGGGAAAGCTTTATTAATTTCTTTGCTTACTTTGGAAGACAACCTGTCCAACATATCCTGCAGAAAATTAATGCTTCTCAGAGTAAACTTGCCATTTGCATTTGGGTTTTCCCAAGCTATTGACAGGAAGTTACCTCTGGGTACCTGGATCAAGGGGTATGCTGCTTCTGGACCTGCAGGGCTGAGGGTCTCACCTCTGTGATGCCCTGGAGGGCCTGCCCCGGGACAGCTCTGCACTCTCCCCTCCTTCCTTACGCAGCTGTGGTCCCTGAGTTTTGCACATGAAATTTCTCTCTTCTTGTGGCAAAGTTCAGGATGCCTAACCCCACCTTGACCACAGTGACCTGGCTATGCCTCCATTCAACAGTAAGTACTGAGATCAATTCTGTGTCAGGCCCTCCTTGCTGCCTGTGGGGACATAAAGAGGAATAATTTGCTAACCATGACCTGGAGAAACCCTAATTCTAGATAAGGACAACCTTCCAGACTCCTACCCCAGAATGTGACTTTGGAGAGGGAGTACTAAGAAGGCTGCTAGCAATGCCTTGCTTCTGGGATTTGGCTCCTTGAAAACCCCCTTACCAAGCCCAACTTCACTTCCTGATCCTTTTTTTTTTTTTTTTTTAGCCAATTGGGAGCGGGGAGGAGGAATCCCGAGAATTCAGACAACCTTCACTGCCCGCCCGGCGGCCGCAGTTAGGTCCTCCCACCGCAGGGGGCGCCGTGCGACTGCGGGAGCTGGCCCGGCCTGCTTCCTCCTGCGCCCAGGCCGCCGCCGCTGGCCGCGCAGGTGAACCCGGAAGCGGCGGCCGGCAGGGGCGGGGCGGTGTCGGGGGCGGTGTCGGGGCCTGCTGGGCAGGCCGGGAACCGCGCGGGGGCGCGGGGCGTGTCCCTTGTCAAGAGCCATGCTCGGCAGGTCCGGGTACCGGGCCCTGCCTTTGGGGGACTTTGACCGTTTCCAGCAGTCGAGCTTCGGCTACTTGGGCTCCCAGAAGGGCTGCTTGTCCCCGGAGCGGGGCGGCGTGGGGCCGGGGGCCGGTGAGTGGCCGCCCAGCACCGCGGACTGGGGTGGGGACCGGCCCGCAGCCACGGCCTGGAACGCTCTGTCTCTCTGGAGTCAGCCGTCCGGCGCCCTCGCGTTCTAAGAGGAGAAACAGAGTGCACACGATGTGGAGAAAGGCCTGAACGGGCGCTGGGATGCCAGCGCTGCTCCGCCCTTACTACGGCTGAGGGTACAGCCCCGGAGCTTTCGTTTTCCAAAAGATGAATTCCGCCTCATTTGTTCTCGGCTCTCATCAGCTCGTTAGGCCTGGGCAGGGGTTTCATGTTCCCATTTTGCCTATAAAGAAACCAAGGTTTAGCCATAGGAGGACCCCATCATGCTAAGAGCACTTGGCTGCAGAGAAATGGCAGAATCTTACCCCCCGGGGGGAGGGGGCACCTCTAGACCCCGAGCTTGAGCATCTTCCCGTTTCCTGGTGGAGATGCACAGGCCAAAAAGGCAGGCTCTCAGCTGCCTGCTGTGTCTGCCGTGGCCCTGTCTTGCTCCAAAGTCTTGAGTGGTTCCTTTGGCTCATAGGCCAGATCCCGCATACCTCAACCTACCACCAAACCCCAGAGGATTTGGTCCCTCCCTCATACTCCTGTAATGACCGCTGCCCCTGGCAAGGGTTTACTTCCTGCAGAGGTAATATGGGTTAGAGCGAGGCAGGAAAGGGGACTTCATATCCTGGGGCTGGGAGAGTCCAGAGGGTATGGGGTTCCTGGGAGGATGGAACAGATTCTTATGTCTGCCTCTGGCCCAGGATTGGAGGGGAGGGAGAGCAGAGGATAACTTCGTCCCAGATTTTGGGGCTCTCTCAGCTCCACTCCCATCCTGTGTTCTTGCTTCCCCAGGGGCCAGGATCTGTGGTTCAGATCTTCCTAGTTCTTCCCTCCCCTACCTCCCACTTGAGTGAAGCGTTTGATAGTGCTTAGGGCATTGAAGTGGGGTGAAGAATTGTGAGCTAGTAAGGAACAGCCCCCAACTCTGACTCCTGTTGGTGAGCTAGTAAAAAACAGCTTAGCCTCAGCTGTGGCTCCTATCGATGAGCCATTAATGCTTAACCCTTTTAGGCTAGGGAATTATCAAAAGGACTTGAAAGCACACTTCTGGGGCTCATGGTAAAGGAGGAATATGTTATGCCAGCATCATTTAACTTAACCCAGCACATGTTTACAGATGCCCAGATGCTCCTGGCTCTGTGCTGGGTATGGGAAACAGTATCGGTCAGACAAGGGTTGACTCCTGCTCAGCCCAGAGAGCATTACATGGACTGGCTTTTTAGATCCAATGGCTGTTGCCCAGCAGAGAATAAGCCTGTGAGAGCGGGACTTGAGATTTTTGATGTGTAGGAGGAGGAAATAGTCCTCAACTAGCACCTGCTCAAAGATAGGGGAGTATTAGGCAAGGAGGCAGCTGAGAGCCTGAGAAAGAAGGAGCCACTCAAGGGGTAGATGGGCCTAAGATATGTTTGACCAAGTTACTCAGCCTGCAGCTCTCCTTCCAAGCTCAGGTGGTGTTCCTTGACTGCCTCCGCTCATTGTCCCCAGATGCACCTCAGAGCTGGCCCTCCTGCCTCTGCCATGGCCTCATCAGTTTCCTGGGGTTCTTGCTGCTGCTGATCACCTTCCCCATTTCCGGCTGGTTTGCCCTGAAGGTAAGGTTGGCTGGGTCACAGTGAGAGCTGTGGCATTGATAGACGAACTCTCCGTCCACTGCCCACTTCCCCTAAGGACTATATTATCACATCTCTGTGAAATGGGCTGCACAAGGATTATTCATTCCCACCTTTCAGATGGGGAAACTGAGCGTCAGACTTGTACAAGGTCATACTGGGAGCCGGGAAGTGGTAGAAAGGAGTTCCAAGTCCGAACTTGCAAGTCTCAAAGTCTGGACCCTGGCTTTAAAGTGCACACGGGTATCTTTTCCACATCTCCCTCCCTTTAGGTTAGGCTAAATTAGAAATGAAAAACACTAAACTCGGCCTAGCAGGTAATGAGTAATAAGAATTTAGGCCTCATATTCAGGAAGGGGCGGTGCAGATGGGAAAAGGATAAACTGTAGTTGAGGATCTCACCTGAAAGCCGCAGTGCAGGTAGAAGCCCCGGTGGGCCTTGCCCTGTGTGTGGCCCTCAGCAGCAGTTAACTTCTCTAGGAAGCCTTTGGGTTTGGTGTGGTCTGGAAGGGAGTCCTCAGAAGGTCCCAAATCCTAGCCTAACGCTGCCACTGAACAAATGACTGTGTGACCTTGGACAAGTCACTTTGCCTCTCTGGGCCATTTTTTCTTAATTTGAACATATTTGCTGCTTTCAGGACTCCAGGGATCTAAAGTTGGGAACCCCTTTGCCCAGGGTTGCTGTTAAATCATCCCAGCCTGTTCCCCTAATTAAGCCAAGGGCAGACAGTTTCTGGTTTAAGTCCGGTCTAGCCTCAGGCCACACACATGAAAAGTTTCTGTGAAGAACAGCAGTGTGGTAGTTGAGAGGATGGCCTTTGGAGTCATTCAGAACTGCATGTGAATCTTGTCTGTTTCCCTTAGGGGCCATGTGATTTTTGAGTAAATCACTCAACCTCTCAGAGCCTTGGTTTTCTCATCTGAAAACAGAGCTAAAGATACCTGACACTGAATAAAACAAGCGGGGGAGAGGTGAAGGAGGGGCCTGAGCAGATGGCATTGCCACCCTAGGCTCACTACTGTCAACCCTTTCCCTTGTCTTGGACAGATTGTGCCCACCTATGAGCGGATGATCGTGTTTCGACTGGGCAGGATCCGTACCCCTCAGGGGCCTGGCATGGTTCTGCTCCTGCCCTTCATTGACTCCTTTCAGAGGGTGGATCTGAGGACCCGAGCCTTCAATGTCCCTTCCTGCAAGGTGGGGGGTTTCTTAGCTCCCGTGGAGAGAGGGAGTGGGGGCTTGTGCAGAGAATACTGTGCATGCCGGTACCATGGCCTGTGAGGGGGCCCTCAGGGGTGGCAGGGGTGAGGGGGTGACGGGAAACCAGGAAATTGAGGTTGGAGGCTGAGAGAACATTTTTGCTCCATTTACCTAACCCCAGGCCCTTGGGGACATCATTTTGCCCTTGCGGAGCTGGCAACCAGGTGGGTGGGTCAAACTGGGTGGTCCCAGTGGGCCTGATCTCCCTGTAGCACCAGCCCCTTGAGTGTCTCCTCTTCCATGGTGTCCCCCCAGCTGGCCTCTAAGGATGGGGCTGTGCTCTCTGTGGGGGCCGACGTCCAGTTCCGCATCTGGGACCCAGTACTGTCAGTGATGACTGTGAAGGACCTGAACACGGCCACGCGCATGACGGCCCAGAATGCCATGACCAAGGCCCTGCTCAGGAGGCCCCTGCGGGAGATCCAGATGGAGAAGCTCAAGATCAGCGACCAGCTCCTGGTAGGCGGCTCCTCACAGGGCCGAGCTGGGCAGCTGCCTGCGGGGCCTGGCTCCGCCTGCCAGGGCACTTTGAGCCAAACTCCAGATCACTCTGGGCCTCAGGGTACCAAATGTCCAGTGTAACAGCCTTTGAACAGCCAGTGGGCTGGACGGGACTGTGAGTTGAGGACAGGAAGATGGGCAGAGACCATAGTGATCTTGGGCAAACCTGTCCTTGAGGGGTGGGTGAAGGGGCTCTGACAGGAGCGCCCAACACAAATTCCTGGGCCCTGCCTCTGACTGCTGAGGTTTACCCTTTACTGCTCTGAAGGCATCGCTGCCACACTGGGGCTCAGGCCCTCACGGGGCCAGCAGGGTGAAAGGAGTGGGAGCTTCCTGGCCCAGTCCCCTTTGGGGAATTCTGTGCTCCACAGGGCAGCTTGCACATTTGTGTGGTTTTGTGTTCCTTGTTTTGAATAGAACAAAGGGACATGAGGACATTGGGACCTTTTTCCTGCTTTTCCATGTGTGAGCAATTACCTACACAGAATTCACCTCAAGCCCCCTCTGTGACAAGATGGGGTAGACGTGAATACATACATGGTAGCATGCCCCCTGCTCCCCACACTTGCCGTGTGCTTTCTCCCATTTTCTGATGGCAACTTGGATGAAGTTCCTCTTCATTCCCCTTAGCTCTGCTTTCCCCAGGGGAACGGGGTTAGAGGACAGCTTGGGGGGTGAAATTCCCAGGAAAATATGATTTGTCATAGTAACAATAGCTCTCATGTGCATAGCTTTTATAGCTTAGGAAGTCCTATTGCCCGCCCCCGTGTGTCTTGGCCTTACATTTTGCTGTAACAGGGCTGGTATTGTTTTATTTTGTAGAGAGGAAACTAAGGCTCAAAAATTGTACGATTTGCCTATAAGAGCCAAGGTGAAGGGCAGAGGCAGCCAGAGGCAGCCCACCCCCAGCCTTCCAATCCAGTGTTCAGTCTTCTGCACCTCAGAATGCTAATTAACAATCTTCATTTGTGAAACCACATTGCATTTTAATTTGCTTTAGGAAGAGAAAATTGTTCTCAGCCTTGTACACTGCTTTGGTGCAACAAAGCTGAGAGGGGCAGTTTGGGGGAAGTCAGTCCCGTGCTAGGATGTTGGAGTCATTCGGGGCCCATTGACCAGCCTGGTTTGATGCCTGGTAGAGTGGCGTCAGTGCCTGTAGTTAAAATAACATCTCAGGAAACTCACCACACCTCCCGTAAGTCCTGGTTCCGGCATGTTCTTCTCATTCTCTCTCTCCTTTCCACTCGCTATTCATCTGGAGGGATCGCCCACTCCCCATCTCTCACTTGCTAGACCCTCCTTTCCTGTTTCCCCCACTTACTTACTTTGACTCGAGGCCAGCGGCTTCACCCTTCACTGCCCTGTCCAGCGGCTGCCCACCCTGCACACTGGCCCCCCTCACCCCCCTCCCCCCCCCCCCTGTCCAGCGGCTGCCCACCCTGCACACTGGCCCCCCTCACCTCCCTCCCCCCACCCCGCCCGCAGGCCTTGCCTCTTGCTGCTATAGAGTAAAGAACTCTCGGACAGGAGCTCTTTCAGCCTCCTCCGGCACCATCCCTTCAAACTCCCCCACCTGTGTGATTTTTCCTGTTCAGCGGAAGTGGCATCCTCCTGTGAGGCTCCTCCCGCCTTCAGCCGTGCTCTGGGCCCCGGACCCGGCTCGCTCCCTCCTTCGGTCTCTCTCTCCTCTCCTTTTTGCACATACCTGTTCTCTCCCTTTACACCCGTCCCTCTCGGACTCTTACCCCTCTCTCTCCTCTCTTTCCTCCCCTCCTATCCTTAGTCTTGGCATCCCCCAGACTCCTAGCCCACTGTCATGGTCACCTCTCTTGGGGGCGCAGGGCCACTCTTAATTTAACCCTTCTCTTACTGGACTCTGTGGACCCTCCTCCTCTCTCTCTGACGGGTCCTATGCTTCCCTTCACTTTCATTATTCCACACACCTGCTTTTCCTTCTTCCTCCCTGGTAACTCCGGGTTACTCCTCCCGCCCTGCAGTTTCCAGGTTTTTGGCAATGGCCTCTTCTCATCAGCTTCTGGAGAGAGCTCATCCACCTGGGCTTTTGTTATCTCCATTACTTACACGATTTATTTACAACATTCTGCTCCTGTTGGACTCTCTCCTGCACCCTGGGCCCCATTTATCTGAGTGCCCATTGGACATTTGGCTGTTCCATGGACACCTCAAGTTTATTGTGTAAGAAAAGCTATCACCCTCCTCTCCCTCCCCCAAGTGTGCGTCTCTCTCTGTGTGTGCTTTCTTGGTGTCCTCCCAGGCTCAAAGTCCCTGCAGGAGCCCACACCAGAAGCCCGACATCATCGCCTCCCCTTCACCCCCTCTGTCATTGCACATGCGCGCTGCTGGCCAGCCTGGCGGTTCTCCTTCTCTAGGGTCCTACTGCAGGTAGCTTAATGCGGAGTCGTGCCCCTCCCTCACGGGGTCTTGACTTCACAGCTGCCTGTCTGCCTGCCTCCAGATCTGCATCATTTCTGCCCAGGACTTGAAATAGTGCCCTGTGTGGTCTCTATGCCTCTACCCTCAGCACTCCAGTCCAGTGTCCACATAGACAGGAGTATCTTTCCAAAAAGCAAGTCCTCCCTCCCCCCTCCCTGGGGCTGTGTGCCTCAGAATAAATCCAAGTGAGCAGCACCAGCCCACCTCCATCTTGTCTCCCAGCCCACACTTAGCTAAGTGGAAGTACGGTTACTTATAGTTTCCCGAACATTCCGGTTCTCTTGTCTGGGCTTTTGCACAGGCTGTTTCCATTGCCTAGAAGGGTCCTCCTTCCCCTTACACTCTTCACCTGGGCAATCCTCTCCTCCTGGAGGTGTGTCCGTGTGTGGCCATGTCACCCTGTCCAGGGAAGGTGCCTCAGAATGTCTTGCTGAAGGAAGTCCATCTCTCCCCGTGCCCTCCTCCAGTTGGAGATCAATGATGTGACCAGGGCCTGGGGGCTAGAGGTGGACCGCGTGGAGCTGGCCGTGGAGGCTGTGCTCCAGCCACCCCAGGACAACCCGGCTGGGCCCAGCTTGGACAGCACCCTCCAGCAGCTGGCCCTCCACCTTCTGGGAGGAGGAGGCTTGTCCTCAGTGGCAGGAGGGGCCCCAGCCCTGGAGCCAGGTGAGGAGCCTTGGGGAAGAGGGCGGACGGGCTCGCCAGGGCACTCAGCTTGGTGCCCAGCACAGACTGAGCTTTGCTGCTTGTGCCCTTAATCAGGCCCCTTTGCGCAGTTCACACCCTGCCCAGCTGTTCAGGCCGCCCTGATTCCAGAGCAGACCAGAGCTTGGCGGTGAAAAGGGCACAGGTGTCCGTGAGTGTGTGCAGGCATTTGGGAGCCTCCGTGGGAGGAAGAGACAGTAGCCAGCAAGGGCAGTTTCTTAGCAGAGGAGGAAATTGAACACAGGCCTTCACGGGGAGCCGCTGTGAGAAGCCTGGCGGCTCCAGTGTCCTGACCTCAGCAGCACACTGACCGCCTTCCCTCAGCTCCCCTTCTCACCCCTGTGCTGCCCCCAGCAGACACCTTGGAGATGGTGAGTGAAGTTGGGCCGCCTGCCTCTCACGGCGGTGCTGGGCCCAGTCCAAAGCAGCCTGTGGCCGAGGGACTGTTGACTGCTCTGCAGCCCTTCCTGTCTGAGGCCCTGGTCAGCCAAGTTGGGGCCTGCTACCAGTTCAATGTCATCCTGTCCAGCGGCACCCAGAGCATCTACTTCCTGGACCTCACCACAGGTGCAGTGCCCTTCCTGCCCCTCCTTCTCACCCTGGTTGCTTACAGCCCCTTCCACCCACCCTGTGGGCCCTTTACAGACTGCCCCCTGCTCCTGCCAACAGTTCAGGGTGAACCTATAGCAGTTAGGGGCTCAGACACCATTTGCAGACAGTGATTATTCAGGCCTTGTCTCCCTGCACTGTCCTCGTCAGCAGGACTTAGATAACCAAGCTCCCTCTACCAAGTGGCCTGCACACATTACTGGCTTTGTGCATGCCAGGTTCTGTGCTGAGTACTTTTTGTGCATTATCTCACCCACTTCTCACCCTGAGCCTGTGACCTAGGGATTATCATCACCCCCATTTACCAGTTGGGAAACTGAGGCTCTGAGGGGCCACATAGCCCAGAGGACTTGAACCCAGGGTCTTTAAATCTGGACTCTTTAACTACTGCTTTCCACTCCTCCCAGTAGGACATGCTAATAACCCCTTTTTCCCCCTGCGGCATAGCTGTCCACTACTAATGCTAAATTTTCTTTTCCCTCACAGGACAAGGGAGGGTGGGGCGTGGGGTTCCTGACAGCATCCCTGATGTGGTGGTGGAGATGGCTGAGGCGGATCTGCAGGCCCTGCTATGCAGGGAGCTGCGGCCCCTGGGGGCCTATATGAGTGGGCGTCTGAAAGTGAAGGGCGACCTGGCTGTGGCCATGAAGTTGGAAGCTGTCCTCAGGGCTCTGAAGTAGCAGCTGTGGCTGACAGTCCATAGCTCAGCCCTCAGTCTGACACCAAGCCAGGGGGCCATCTTGGAGGAGGAGGCACTGACGCTGCACCTTGGATTATTGAGGTTTAAGGAGTTTCCGGCCCATCTGGGAGCTGATGAATGGAGGCTGTGAGAGGCTGAGTCAGCCGCCCTGCCCTTCTTATCTACAGTGGTACTCTGGCTAAGCTTTTTGCCATTCTAGGCCCCTGCTGAGTGCCCAGCCCTGAAGTGGGTAGACAGTGCAGTGACAGGAGAGCCAGGCCAGCTCTGCTCTGCTGGCTACCTGACTGGAGAGGCAAGGCCTCCAGAGACAATCTATAGCAGCTGGTTGGTCCCAGTGTGAAAGAGCAAAGCATGCGGCTCAGGTTCCCAGCTCCAGAGGTGGGGAGCAGAGAGGCCGGGTGGGGGAGAGGGGGGGCGGCCACCTGGCCAGGCGAGTGGGGGGTGGGGATGGCCGAGAGTGGGCCTGCCCCTCCCCTGGCCCTGGTCCTGAAGATGTCTGACTCATCTACCAGCTCCAGCTTGCATGCCTGCTGGGCTGGGGCCCAGGGCAGCATGAAGGAGAGGCCCTGCCATTCCTGTGCTTTTTACCAGAGGTTTGGAAATCTCAAATAAATGTGGTGTTTACAGTGTATTGGAGAGAAGCAGAGTCATGGGGATGGGCTGGGGGGGACTCTGAGGCGATGCCCTTACTGCCCCCCTGGCAGGGACCAGTGCCCTGGAGGCTGACACAGGCCCTCATGACGCTCTTGAATTAGCCAATTGTCCTTCCTGCAGAGGTCTCAGGGCCCCAGGGGCAGGAGCAGGGCACCCTGTTCCTCTTTATAGTTGAGGTAGAAGTTTGCCAGAAAAGGGGGGGTTCGGGTGTATCAGAGCTGGTTCCACAAACTAACCCAGGGAGGGGCAGGCTGGGAGGCCCGAATCATATCCAGGAGAGGAGCTGGGGCTGCTGTCAGCTCTCCCTGCACTGCCCTCCGTCACTGCTTCTCCTCTGCCCAAAGGGAAGGAACGGCAAGGAGCCAGGCCTGGAGGCCTGGAGGCCTGGAGGCCTGGCCAGGCGCAGCCTGGTTTTCTGCCCCAGTGCTCCAGCCCGAGCTCCGGGGACCCTGAGAGGCCGGGGACCCTGAGGGGAGGCCCTTAGACTTCACTGGTCCAAAGAAATGAGTCACTTCTGGGAAAGGCTGTGAAAAAAAGAACAAAAATCCACAGGTATCTGAGTTTCCCCTTTAACAAGCAGCCTCGGGCTTGTCCCGGCAACAGGCCCTTCCGCCCAGGCCCTCTCCAGCCCCCTTGGCACCGGCCCGCTTCAGGCTGCCCTCGTCGTCCCTGCCGCGCCCCTCTTATCCCTCCTGTAGGTCCTTTCAGCGCGCACGTCGAGGCTGTCAGGTTGCGGGCCTTCTGTGCGGGACCAGAGCCCCGACCTCTGCCGCCCTGCTCGCCTGGAGGCTGTCCAGCCGGGGCTGTCTGTCCTACAGTCTTGGCTCCAGTCCCCAGCGGACACACTCTAAGGCCCGGCAGGCACGGGCCTCTGCTCACTGGGCGTCCGACTGGGCCGGTGTCCCTGCGTAAGTGCCCGCCCTCCCTGCGGCCCTGAGCTTCATCTCTGTCCCCACCGGGAGTTCTTGGCGAGCCCCGGACAGCCCCTCCCGAGCCTTTGCTTCAGGGAAACTGAGACTCTTCAGATTTTCTGTGTGGGCGAGGAAGGGTCAACGGAACACTTAGGGGAAACTGAGAGTCCCGCGGAGAGCAAGGCCTGCCGCCAGCCGTGACACCCCCATCCTGTTGAGGAAGCGCATTCCATGGGGAGGCCCGCATTCCAGGAAAGGGAGCCCACGGGTTCAAGGACCCTGGGGCTCCTATGGCCGGGAAAGGTGCGGGAGGGGAGAGGCTGTCAATCAGAGGTGGCTCCCCTGAGGAGGAGGCGCCTGAGACTTGTGGCTTCATGGGCAACGAAGAGAGGAAAAGGTGGGGAAAGATGCCCAGCAGAGGGGGAGGACCCTTTGACAGATGGAATTTTGAGAACTGGAACCTAAAGTATGAGGGGAGATGGGATTTTGGGGGGAGGTTAAAAATAGTAGCACTGTTAGTATTTGTAGGATGGCCCAATACTGGACTAGACACTTCCTGTATAAAAGGAAAAGGGATGCAAAGTCCACAGTCCAGGCAGGTTCATTGCTAAACCTGAGAGAGACCTGTCTGCTCTGGAGAGCAGGACGGAGAAGGCCTCCCTTAGAGGCTAAGAGGCTTTTTATAGCATCTTTTTTGGCAGGGGTTTTGGCGGCTTTTGAGGGGGTGGGGTGGGGAAGGGGCGAGCTTGTGGCCTGCTGACGTGTCCTTGGGAAAATGCTTGTAGCCTAAGTAAAATGAAACCTCAGCTTTCTGAGATGGCACTTGGGCTTATTCAAAATGGCGGTACTCCTGTCTGGGCTCTGTCACTGCATATTAGTTTTTTTTCTTCAAGATAACCTGGTGAATAATGATAATTAAAATAGTGATATTATACTATGTTGATATATTAATATTTTGATGTCGTTTTTGAAGTAAGTATTTAAATTTTGAATACCTAGTATAGTGACATGGTTCAAAAATTTTTTAAGATTAAAAAGGCATACTATTAAAATTGTCCTTCATACTTCTGACTCTTTCCACACATTTCCCACACCTTTCTCCAGTTATCCCTTGATATTAGTTTCTAGGTAAATCTTCCAGAATTTTTTTAATGCATATAGAAGTGTAACTCGGGGTGGGGTGGGGGGAATATTTTCCCAGCCCGGGGCAAATTACCTTTGAAAGTGAAATCAGTCAAAGGGGGCAATAAAGTGGAAGAAACCCATTTATTGCTTACAAGCAGTCATCCTCTTCTGCCCAGGTGTGTGTCTCCCACCAAACCTCCCTGGTCCAGATATACACTTGCTCGCCCCACCCTTGTAACCAGCTATTGATGTGGAGATGGACTACTTCTCTCCACCCCTTGGAAGCGCCTATTGACATGGATGTTTCCTTATCAACATAGGCCAGGCGAGAGATTCTGGAAACACTGCCATCTCACCCACAGCTGTCCACTCCGGAAGTCCCGCCTCGCAATCTGCTTGCTCCCCATCGTCTGCAAATGGCCCCTGTGCAAGAAAACTGGAGCTCTGTGACCAGACCAATAACATAAATGACAAACAGCAATAAAGTCATGAAAATCCTCAAACTGGAGGATTTAGTTAAATTCAAAGTCCCGTGCAGATTCAGACCATAGCTCGCCTATTCCATAGATGAACAGGTAGGGAGTTCAGAGCCATCATCATGGCAGCTGCAGCCAGGGGCTGTTACATCCAGGCCACAGGACTGTAGGAGAAAATAACCTTAAAAGCAATAAAATACATATTTTAATGACAGCAGCATAGGCAAATCTTGTCCATCAGGTAGGATACATGCAAGACAGTGGTCCTGTGACTGGACAGTGGCAGAAATGGGACCTCGTGCTGCTCTAGTACACCAGACCTTCACCCACCTCCCTGTGGGAGTTACAAATGGGTCAGTACATAGGGCTACGGGAGGGAGGTACATGCACTGGCCGTAAAGATAAAACAAAACTCTCTGGTAAGATGTTCTTACCTTCTGGCCTTTTTGGTTATACTACTGTCATCCTTGGGGGCCACTCTGCTGTTACTCCAGAAACACACGGGAGGCCAGCTTCCAGGCCTTGTCCCTAAGGTGCCAGAAGGGCCAGCCATCATTGGTCCATGTGTCAAAATGTCCAAGGCCATGAAGTCTCCAGGTTGCCATGGGACTCAGTCACACGGTGCACTTCTGATGGGGCTCTGCTGACCTCTTCAAAGGTCAGAGGCAGGCTCCACTGACAGGCTACCGCCTACATTGTCTTCTGCCTGAGGCAGGCTGCGCTGCTAGCCAACGCACCTGGGCTTCCAGGCACTGCCGAGGCCCCAGCCACAGCCGCCTTCCGTCACATGGACACCCAGCTCCCAGGGTCCTGGAGGAGCACATCCAGCGCATGTCCTTCCCTGATGGATCTGCCTCACTCAAGACTTTTCATGGCCTTAACTGTGTATTTTGCAACAGTGGAGGTAAATGCACATGTATCATGCCAGCCAAACCTGATGCCCTCTCTTAACAAGTGGCATAAGGGCTTCAGAATTTGTGCTACGTGCAGAATAAACACTCTCTAGTAGCATACAAGACCCAAAACTTCTTGCGAAAATGCCACATTTATCTGTAAGGTAATCAGATATGAGCATAACATCACACACAGTATTAGATGCCCTATTCCCTAGGGATTTGGGCTTATTCCACGCAGCCCTACCCTGCAGACAGTAGTGTGGGTGTGGGGGGGTCCCTGGAAAACTCTGGGTTGCAATAATCATGGCAGTAGGGCACACTGCACATTAACTGGGGACTAGTAAATCATTTGGCCTCTGGTCCCCACCTCATCCCCCAAGATGGGGGTCTTGACCCTCCCCTCAGTTGAACTTCAATGCCCAATTGTCATCCTGTGGGGGTGAAGGCCCAGGCAGAGCTTGAGGACTGTCTCTCAGGGAGTCTTGCAGGGACACAGGCTGACATGGGGCTTTGCCTCTGGCTTCTGTGTCCTGGACCTCAGCAGCTGGAACTGCTGCCCTGGCTTTAATTGGTGCCAAAGTTCTAATAAGATCCTACCGAGCTGCCCATCAAGTTTTCCTTTCACTATCCTGGCTTTTATCAAATCAACCCACATCTGAGTCCTCGAGACCTTCATGGGGCCCTTTGCACCTCTCCTTTCAGTCGTGGCCCATACTTCCTTCCAGCCTGTTATTATTTCAACCTCCCCCAGATCTGCTAAAGTACAAGTAGCCTCACTTATGGGTTGCCCTGTGTGGGGGGCAAGAATAGTCACTAGGGACCCAAAGAAGATGGGGGAGCTGTATGCAGCACCAGATTTCTCATTCCTATTATGAGCAACTCCTCCTCAGGGCCTTGGGGGTCCATATTATAGATGATATTTTTCATGCCCAATTCTCACAATACCTGTTGGAGCTCTCTCTATATGTTTTCCAGCTAGTTGGTAAGTATGGTAAGTCACCCTGGTTAGGCCAACTGCCCTGATGGCCGCTGTCAGCCAATCCAGAAGCGCCCGATTCCCTGGGGGGTGACAGTCTGGT